GATAAGGGAATCAAGCTGTTTTTTGTAATATCGTGACCAAAAAAAAATATTAAAAAATTAAAAATTATCTAAGAAGCAAAGTCCCTTGTAAATCTGCAGCACAGAAGTTAATATGTGATACTGGAAACAGAGATCACTACTTGCTTTTACTGTAAAAATATATTATTAACCTACTCTTATAGATGGCAACAAATTGTCTTCTTTCTTATTATGAAATGTACAGAGCTGTCCTCTGTAATGTTTTTTAAATTATATTAACAGTCCCTGCATATTATCCTATCAACTTGTTACTTGGTTTGTTTTATTAGCCTAAATGTATTAATTTTAGTACACATTAGTACTTACTTTGCACGGAAACATTTCTGAATATCTAACTAAAGACAAAGTTCAGGAAGAGTGATGATGTGTGAGCTTACAGTCAGCTGCTTTAAGAAGAAACAGAAAAATAATGCAAAAAGACAGGCAATTATCTTAGCAAAACAACCAAAATGCATCAGTCATAAAAATAGCTTTGAACAAGCTAGCTCAAAATATGAAATCACAGGACTACTTGTAAGGGACTTTACTTGCCTGGAAAAAAATACAATTAAAATGTTATTTTAAGATTTACATGTAATTCTTCTGCCCACAAAGTAACAATATATAAATGTGTAACAGTTTATCATTTCAATGTCATCGTGAGAAAAATAGCTGAAAATATGATACTGCACGGATGTGGGGTTGTATGGACTGTAACCACAGAGATTCAGAATAAAACTTGCATTATAATGCAAGCGAAGAAGAAGGAAGAGGACAGATCGTAAAAGCCACTGTAACTACAACCAGCAAATAAAAAATCTGCACCAGGTCATTGAAAAACACCTAAGTAATCACACAAATCCTTGGGAGACTGCTAAGATTCGGTATTGGAAACACACAAAGGTAAATGACCGTTAAACAAAATTCAGGACAATTCAGCTGCACTAGGTGTGGTATGACTCAGAAAAGGGTGGCCTTGAGTCACCCTTCCTTTGTCTGGTCACAGGGCTGCAATGGGACTATTTCAGCCCCGCGGTCTGAGCGCTGAGCTCAGCCACGCCAGCTGCACCTGCCCCGGGGAGGGGGGCTTCTCTGAGCAATGGCTGGCCAAGAGGGCTGTGTCTTTCAGCCCTGGCTGAACACACCTCTGCACTGTAGGAAGGAGCATCACCGAGAGGATTTGTGGCAAGCAGCAAGATCCCTTGCTCCCGTGATAGAGCAGCCTGGGTGTTGAGAGTAGTACAATAGATTGCAGGATGGGTTATTTCTTTGTCAAGGTAAGAGCCTAGATTTGAGAAAGTATCTGTGAAAATCTTCCACTGAGACTCTTCCACTGCTTAGAAAGAAGGAACTCTGTTATCAGGAAACACCAAACCTAACCTCTGCAGAACCCCAAAGATCTCCATGAACAGAGAGCACTTGGAGCCAAGCTAGTGTCATTTTTGGGAGCCTAAAGGAATTCACCACATCTTGAATAGAAGGTCATAGTTTCCTCTTCATAAGAACCCAGAGGCTGAGAACAAGGGCCACAACTTGTCTGGTACATATTTTTTCTTACAGATTTGAGGAGGGGATAGGATCGTTTTACCCAGCATAACTTTTAATTTCATTCTTGCCAACAAATCCAGAGAGAACAAGCGTGTTGTTCTTCTTAAAATACTGCTGTATCTTATCTAATAAAAAAAAAAAATATGTGAAAATAACCTATATAACTTGGACAAATCATTAACAGGAAAACACAATTACGTGAAAGTATCTGAATGATGTAAGCTAGAAGAAAGGGAGAGGAACAAATGGAGATACTGTCTGAGATGCCTTTGGTAAATAGAAGAAAAATCAAACAAAAAAAGGGAATCCTAACAGCAGAGGAAGTAATTGCAAAAAAAAAAAAAAAAAAACCAAAAAAACCAACAACCCAAAACCCCACAAACAAAAACAAAAACCAAAACCGGTAAAAGCCACATTTTTCAAGTCATTTAAACTCCACCACGCAAATCACTTTATAAAGCCTTTAGATGGAGAAGCAAAAGCCTGGCAAGGAGACACATGACTTAATCTTGTTGATCTTTTACATTTTTTCTGTGTCTGTCACCCAACAGTGAACAACAGATGGGAAAGCAAAAGCCTGTGTCACCAGTAAGCCATCTTTTATTACTTGTACCACAAAAGCCTGCTGTATCATTTGTTAGGTGTGACATTCCCATTCTTCCTCTATGCGTGTACTGAGCATTCTTTCTTTCTTATCTCCATCTTCACCCTTTCTAATTTTTCTCCTGTGGTGTTCTTTCTTTTAAATAGAAACTGAATTTAAAGGGTCTACTGTTCAGCCTAAGAACTGCAACTTTTGGTCTCAGAATAGGTATATATACCAAAATGCAAGGCATTGCCTACTTATCACAGTCTGCAAACATGCATATTATAAATGATCTTTTAATATAAAAATAAAACAATCTTTTGTAAGCAATTGTACAACTTTCAGGAGTCAAAACTACCCTTATCTCACGTATCATGAGATTCACCCTGGACTATTTCATACCTTCTCACAGGGCTCTCTGGACCTGGATTTTCTCTCCACTCTTGCTGTCTTCACAGGGCTGAAACTGTCTCCATCCATCACCTTTTGACACCTTAAAATACATGGTTTCCATTTCATAGTTTCAAATTACTTTCACTTAGAAGCAGTGTGGAAGGAATCCCATCACTGGTTAAGAGAAATGTCTTTCCTACCCTTTTTTCTGGATGGTGCCTGAACAATTGTCATAAACACTCAGATAACTGACTCATCTTCCAGATCACAGAATACAACCTCAGAACAAAAAGGTCCTCGCTCCTGTTTACTTCTTTCTTTTGCTTCTATTGTTATTATACAGGATTGTCCTACCTTCCAATAGTGTTTCCATTCAGCAGAAAAAAAGTGTCCATAATGACATCCTTCTTTGGAAGTCCTGTGCTTCCTTCATACAGCCAATTTATAAGAAAACTGAATTTGCTGTCAAAAAGATCTGTCTCTGGACTTCATACATGGCCTATTTTTTTGATCTTGCAGCAGCTCTGCATTTTTTTTTTCTCTGTCAATTTCAATAAGTTGCAATAAATCACTCCCATTGTGTTTGCTGGTGTTAGCACATTGAAGGGAGCACTGCACGTACCACAGCGTTAACCACAGTGAGTACTGTGGTTGATAATGGCAGTGCTTGCAAAGATAAATCACCAGCAGGGAAAGCCATTCAAGAAAAAAAACAGAATTCCCTCTGCTGCCCCCCCCCCCGCCCCAAAGATAAATCACCAGCCGGGAAAGCCATTCAAGAAAAAAAACAGAATTCCCCCTGCTGCCCCCCCCCCCGCCCCCCCCCCAAAAAAAACAAACCAACCCCAAAACCAAAAACCCCAAAACAAACCAAAAGAAACTCCACCAAAATGAATATCCAGAGCAGAGATGGTAGTGTAACTGGGAAGAACCGTGTATTTTGTAGTGTACCCTAACTTGAATATGTTGCTCACTGCATGGACTTGCCCTCACGAATCATGATCTGAAAATACTTTATTGAATAATGGGGTGCTCAGGTTTTTTCAAAGAAAATTTATGGTTTTGTTGATTTTTCTTACTGCTTCAAATGATGGTTGTACACCTTCCTGTAAAACACCTTTTCACACATCAGAAGTTCTTATGAATCTTTGCGGAGTTCTGTATTTTATGTTTTCTTAACCCTTGCCCCACTAAACTAAATGATTGCCTGGGGAAGGATTATGTTTATTTGTGCTTTCCTACCATCTACTATTCCAGGCCCCCAAACCCCTTGGGCACCTTCATGTGAATGCTTTCTTACAAATCATGTCCATCACCCCTCATTGACAGCAAAAGCAAGAAACGTACCGCCGTAACACACAGGACAGAACAAAACAGAACAGTGCTCCAAGACAGTAATGATTCCCTTGAACTGCTTCCCACCCTGTGTGAAGATAAGGAGGTTGAGCCTTAGTCTTTTCTTGTGCCTATGGAGAGGCTGAAATACTCCGCTATGCCACCGAGTATTGCACGGGGAGACGGAGGGAGGCTTTGCCAATGGCCTGGCTGGCTCACTACATTTTAAGAGCTTTATGAATTGTTAAAAAGGTCTTCCCCTCAGAATGACTCCAGGTGAAGAGTACACAGTGTTGGCAGCAGCACACGACCCTCCTATTTTGGTGTTCTAGTTGAACACAAGGTGGGCCTGGAAAGGAGAGGAAAAGCACAATGTCTTTTGAGGAAGAAGTCAACTTCTTTCCTATTTCTTAAGGGTCAAGCCTCAAACAACTGGAGGGCCAGTCCACAACCATTCTCTCAATCAGCCAGTCAGCTGGAAAATACTACTGTTCTTCACAAGCAAAGGGCTCAGTTACTACAGTGGTCGTTTTGCTACTTCCTTCATTTTCACATCTTCTATGAAGAATAAGTTATGACCTATATTAACCACAGACAAGTTTTGGGTTGTTTTTTTTTTTTTTTTTTTCCCTACGCCTCAACATAATAATCCAAACAATACCTGTCAATCACCTTTTGTCTCAATAGCAGAGAACAACTCCAACCCTTACATTCATTTGGGAAATGGTAGATAGGAAGAGACAGAAATCAAAATGAACACTATAACCTGATGTTTAAAGCTGTTAAGTTTGCTTAAGAACCCCCATTGTAAGAATACCCAGAGTAGCTTAAATTTCAAAAGGATGTTAGGGTATTCTGAGAGCGGAAAACATATCCAATGTTTTAGAACACTGTGCATGACTGAAAGTTCAACAAATCAGAACTACCTACAAACGAACAATATGATTTTCTCCTTGGTGGACTCTACCACTGTTTCCCTAAATGTTAAGAGTCAAAGTGTGTGTTCACTACCAGCCGGACACCTATCCTGTCACTGGACATTCACATTAAAAAACCCTCTTTCCAGTGCACGTTACTCATAAATGTGCTTAATCAGACTGATTCTCTGCCCCTTTATGTTCTACGGTGAATTAGGAAAGGGTCTGTTAAAGGATGATACAGGCCATTCTTTTGTGATGGTCTGCAGTTTTCTCTCCCAATACATTTTCTTTTTATTTAGCACTTCCATTTTTATCCTGTGTTCCTCTTCGGCCATCTCACACTCTCTTTCTATTTGCTGTATTTTTGCCACATGAACTTCATTCATTTGGATTAACTGCAGTTGCAAAATTGACATTTGCTGATGATGTTCTTCCTCATGCATCTTTTTCAGAGCACTTTCCTGAGATGCTTTACTTCTGTAGTTCTTATCTGCTGCTATTCTGACATCAGAACACGAAGGCTCAGGTTGGGAGGTACCTTCACATACTGGGAAATGTACCAGCTCTTTCTCTTCATCACAAAGTTCTCTATTTGAGACAACATATGACTCTGCAAAACATAAGAGGAAAAAGTATTACAGTATTCCCTTCTGCCTCAAGAAACACAAACCTGTGATAATATAGTTATTGGTGTATGCCTCTAAACTTTGTGCTTCTGTACAGGAAGTGCTATACCTCGTGCTTCTGCTGTAGTACAGAAGCCACTACATAATGCAGTTCTGTTACAGAATACTAAGGGCATAATGGTCTGAAGCGAACCACTCTGTTGATAAACCTCCATGGCTATAATGGGAGCTCAGCATACTAAAGGCAATGTAGACATTTACAAGTGGACATGTAAATTTAGGTGGCCAAGTCTAGAGCTGAACCTTAATGCAGCTGTTTAAGCCAAATCCCTATGTGACTTGCAATATTTTAATGAAAGATCTGAGTGTCAGGTGAAGAGCTGTAACAACATGAATACCAAGAGACTGAAGGAATACTAGGAATACTACTACTTATTCCTGCCTTATCACTACTGTACATGTCATAAACACAGTAGTGTACATTTTTAGGAAAAAATTACGTTATTCTAACTCTGAGAAGGTTATTCTGAAATAAAAGAAACTATTCATGGAATAAAATAGTTATCACAGCAAATAAGGGTCTCAAAATACATTCCTTTACAAATCCTGATGACTACTTACAGCAAATACAATTATGAAAGAGACATTGTAAGAATGTTATCTAACAATGTAGTTACTGATGTCTTTTGAGCAAGGACAGTTTTCTATGTGTGATCCTGACATAATAAAGTTTGCAAGAAACTACTGTAGCACCCTCCCTTCTGGTTTTGGATTATTCCTCCTGTGTATGCTTGCCAAACTAAGAAGAATGTTGTCCTGGACTTTTTCAGAAAAGCCATTCTCCAATGTGGACTGCAGTGTGAAATATGGCTCTACTTACTCTTTTTAGTCCTTGAAAACAAAGAAGGAAAGACCTACAGGGAACTCTTGCAGCAGACAATTGTGTATCAATCTTCTGCTGGTAGCTTTTATTTTTTTAATGCTCAACCTTTTCCCAGCAAAATTATGCTTTATAAAGGATCAAAATATTCTTGGGACTGTTCTCTGGAAAGCCAGCACGATAGCTACTGTGATGCTTGCCACAAAGTAGCAGATATGTCAAAAACTGATGAAGAAAAAACCTGCGTAAAACCTCAGTTTAACTCCTGGATGCCTAGGGAGATATAGGGAGTCTTGGAACATCATAGCTCTGAAATTACTTTCCTTAACCAGCAGTCACAGCTAAGTGGAGAGATTTAGACTGCTGAAAGAGAATCACTGGCAAAATCACATACAAATGAATACCACTTGCATCATTACAGTAACGTTTATACCTTGACTAGAAGCATCAGGCTGATATTCAGAATCTTCTTCTGGTGGGCTCTGCAAAAAGTACACTATGATGTATGTATTTATAAGTGGACTAATACTTCTTTTTACCTTCTCCCGCCTTTCATGTGCCATTATCTTTTTTGTCCGTGCCTTGATATTTTCCCAGCATTTCTTTAACTGTTTGAAGTCTCGCAGTGATACACTGGGCTGTGAATTATATTCATGAGCTAGTGCTTGCCAGGTACGTTGTTTCAGAGCAATAGTTCTTGCATCACTTTTTTTACATTCAAGCACATATTTGTATTTTTCAACTAATGCAAGCAGCACACTCTTCTCCACTTCTGAGAAGTATTTAGCAGGCTTTATTATTTCGTTTTGCATTTTCTATTGTTTCTCCGAGAAGCCAAAAATCCTATGAAAACAATGTTGAAAGCAAGAAAACAAACACAAATTAGAACTTGTTACAGTATCAAGAAACCACGTTTCAGCAAATAACTCCTAAGCAGAGCTTCTGATTCTAATGTACTTCATTTTCTAGAATAGCTCGTGAATAACCACTTTCTAGAGTACATAATGAAACATTCAGGTAAGATGAAGTATAATTATCTGCTGTTTTCTATTGCCACTTTAGAGGCTACACAGTTACAGAAGCAGTATACCATAATAAGGAGAAGCTTCTTGTCTTTGTTACAATTTGTCTTGATACCAAATATTCAGTATTTACTTAGTAACTTGTGTTTAAGAACTTGTTTTCCTATTCATTACACTTTGTTACACCCGGCAAGTTTTCAAAGCCCTGAACTGTGGAACAAGGTCTGAAATCCAGCCCTTGATAGCCTCAGGTTTAAGTCTAAAGCCACCTTCAGCAGGTTTGGGTTTCCTTTTGTACACAAAAGACCCTGTTCTGCCCTTGATGACTCTGTATAACTAATTTCTCCCATCTTTCTACGTTTGAAAGTTGTATGAGAAATGATAATAAGAAGTTATCCTTTTAAAGACTTCTGTCAGTTTGGTTCTCCCTCATGCTCAACCCTCCTTGACTGACATCCAATCGGCAGCAGGATCCTGACCAATATTACAATACTGAGAAGAGGCAAGGGTTGCAAGAAGACATGAATTAATTATGGAAACTAACTGCTCTGAAGGTACAGGTCCTTTGCCCTTTACTGCTGACTCTTCATGTTTGGCATTCTTCCTTATGCTTGCACTGCTGGGCACTCTCAGAAGTACTCGGCTAAAGAGTTTTGGCTTCACTCAAGACAGTCACTGCTATATACTTACACCATGTTAACGACTGCCTCTCTTCCCAAGCCTAGGGCATACGTACACAATAGCAAAAGGCTAGGTGATACCAGGGAATTCTTAGCCGTAAAAAAAAAATTAATAAAGCAGTGTTTCCTTGAATTATTAATGCATGACTGTGTTGCAAAATGTAGTTTTTTCTTTTCTCTTTCCACACTTCTCTCCCCATTCCCTCCCACTACAACTGCGTAGCCCCAACTATTTCTACATTTTGGGTATAAACTTTTGGATAATTAAGTATAAAAAGGGGGACCAATGCTGTCTTAGCTCACATTTCTTATGGTTTTAATCATAAAACTCATAGATGGAATATATATAACTGGTTCCTATTCCCAACAGTCTAGGACTCTCCCAAAATGAATTTTCTAGTATTTGCCCATTGCTTCCACTACTTCCCTTATAACATTACTTGAAGATGGAATAGATATTGCCATCAGATCTCCTCTTTTCAATATTTTTTTCTTTAAGTCCCCTGCACTAGCACTTTCTTTGTACTATCCTTGTAATTACTTTCCTCCAAAGATCTTAATACTTACAGCTACCGTCACCTCTTTCAGTGAAGGTAACCACTTATATTTACAAAGAAAGCTAACAGAAAAACTAATTTCAAAATGAGAAACCGACTCTGACATAAGAACGGAAGCTTTCTCAAGTAGCCCATAAAACATGACAAAACCCAGCAAAACAAAAAGGACGAGTCAAAGAATACTGGAAGCAGGAGAACAAAGCCTAGAATAGCAAACCTGAAACAAAGTGAATAGAATAAGTAACAGTCTGAGTTTAAGTTAAGTTGGGGGTTGGACTAGGTGATCTTTAAAGGTCCCTTCCAACCCAAACTATTCTATGATTCTATGTTAAGCCAGTAGCAGCGTAGCTAAGTTGTACCACTGTTGAAAAAAAAAAAGGCAACAAACACTCAGATTGTAGTTTCTGTCACTACTCAACTGGGTAATCACCAGGCATGTCCTGACTGGACAGCTGGCACCTACGTGGCTTCTGGCTAGTCACCGTTCTGCTGTCTCTTACCAAATGCTGGTGTCATGAGGACATGGGAGAGCTGGAGTTTTTGCAACAGACAGGATTTAGGGGACAAAGGGAAAGATCCATAGGAAACCAGACTTTATTAGTTCTGCTGTTCGCAGAACAGCTTGTTTATTTTGCAAGAAAGAAAAAGGTGGAAGAAGGAAGAGAGCTGGGTGGCTGAGAGTAAGGAAGACAGATCCCTGATCCAGCATTTCCTCCACAACACTATATCAAGTTATTTATTTATCTGTGAAAACTTAGTCATCCCCCATGGTGGTGACAGGAATTCTTAAACACCTATAATCCCACAGAACAAACCAAGTGTATGTAAACTAACTTGAAAGTAGCACATACCAATCATTGCAATGTCTAGGTCTAGATAGAAGAGAACATCTGCTTCAGAAGTTACTTAAATAGAAAAATAAAAAAAAAAAAAAAGAAGCAAAAAGTCAGGAAATGGATATCCACAGAAAGAGATACTGAAAACTGGCAATGTCACTCCCTGAAACATGTAAAATAAGAGACCATAATGAAATGGACTCTATCTACCAATCTATTTTACTTATGCACTTACTGTACCATTCCAAACCATTGAGCTGCTTTGGACAGCTGCTGAAATGAAATTCTTGGAACTAAATATCGATGTTTCAACCTGTCTTAGCCGCAGTTTCACTGAGGAACAGGATGAAAAGCAGTCCCACCAGCAAGTCATAAGGCCCAACATCTTATGACCCTGAAAAAACAGGATCAGACTCTGTGTGATCAGAAATGGCTGATTCTGCCTTCCGCTGATGCATGTAAATATTATTTCTAGCTTTGAAAAAGTGCAAGAATCTCAGACCAAAAATCGTGACATGTGTGTAGAAGATCTCTTTAATTAGAAAAACAATGGATTTTACAGAAATTTGGAGACTAAGTTCAAAAAGCTCAACAATGACACAGGGATTTGTGGATTCCAGGTGCTAAATATTTAACTACAGAAACTGGCAGTGATCAACTGATATCAATAAATGTTTAAAATATTTCTGAAAATTACTTTGTATATATTAACAACATATGTACTAGGATAAAAGCTCATCTTTCATGGATGGAGCTGCAGCAAACCCTTAAGTATCACTTCCATACCACACTATCATTTATTACTATTATTTTTATTGTGGTAGCATCTGAGATCCCCTAGTCAGAAACTCAAATACTGTACATTTAAGAACAGAAACATAGGTCCTACCTGGAGAAGAATAAAATACATTAGTCTTCCCTTCCCCCATACACATTCCCAACTTTTTCCTACACATACACACTGTACTTGTGTCTTTTCCATGAAAAAGCCAGGATTGTGATCTAGGATGCATAAAAACCCTCAAAAACTGCTGAAAGCAGTTTAATGCATTTATTACACAGAAGAAAAGTTCTTGAAGTTTCTTTTCAAGCTCTTACATGCTTAGCCTGCTTGCTTCAATATATTAAAGCCCATTTTCAATTAGGTGAACAGAAAGCACTCTGAGATGTCAGAAAACTTAGAATACAGAGAAGTTGCAGCAAAACACCACCATATATTTATATTTATCTCTCTTTCCTTATGCATATTGATGACCTTCTGACAGCCCTCTGCGGAATATGAGAAAGGACTCTTACAAGCCCAAACAATTTCCATTTTGAGGCTAAAAGATCCTTCCAGGACATATGCCCAGGATATAATTTAGCATGTGGGAACCTGTGCTGAAATGGAAGTAGTTTACTGTGTATAGCGTATACAGTAAACAGGATTGATTTTGGAATGTATGGCACATAAGAACAGTTACACAGTAAATTCTAAGAAACAAAGAATGGAAGTGTTTTCCTACTCTTACAGGTGCCCAGGCTCTAAGACGTGCAGTAAGGAATCACTTTATCCTAAATAACTTCTCCTGGCATGTCTCAATTCACAACTTGCCTTAAAACAGATCAGTGTCCTAAGTACTGATCCTCTCACACAAACCTTTATTGCTTTAAAATAACAAAAATATCTCCCAGCTCCCTATTTTTTTTTTTTAAATGCTGTGTGGCATTCTTCTTTAAAAGATTGTAGGAAGCTACTGTGATCTGCTGGAAGAATATCTTGAAAAAAAACTTACACAAGTGAAAAAGTGCACATAAGATCATAAAAATGTATATATGTATTATTTTGCTTGCACACAGCTAAGCATACACCCAAACTCCAACCAGGTGCAATGAAGCCCATTAAAAAAAAAAAAAATCACTTCAGGTTGGCACGTGTAAGCATTTTTAGCCTCTGAAATATGTTTTTAGGCATAAGAAAATGCAAAGAGAAAGTTATAGTGGAAGAGTTAACCCAAATGTTAAGGTTACACTAACCAAACCCAAAGAAAACAGCTTGCTAGCAAACTCTGGTCACTTAAGATGTAAAAATGGAATTAATTTACCAATGCTAGCAGGATTACTATCAGAAATAGTTAAGGATTGAAAAAAAAATAAATTATTCATCCAAATTAAACTGCAGATGAAGCTCTAAGCATAGTCAGTAATTAACGGCATTGGAAATCAATCATAATACTGTCCTTTTCATCCAGTGTTTGAGGGTGAAAGAAAGGCATGGGAATGCAATGACCCAAACCAGTCACAACAACAGGTTTATATTTCACTTGAATGACAGAACCAGCAGTAAACAGTGTCCTTCTTCCTCAAATGTTAGGTTTTCCTCACAGAGCTTCCATCAGAGTGTTCCAGGCCTGACCCTGTCTACCTTGAGACTTGAAATCACTAGGTAATGAGATGCATCAAACAAATATGCATAAGATCTATATGGAAATTATGTTATATATAACCAGATTTAAAAAAAAAAACCAAAACAAACAAACAAACAACCCTTCGGGTGCGTTTTTCACATCTGTTTTAACACAAATTAATAGTTATCAGGGATCATCTAGCTAACGAACAAAATAAACTATTAGTAAAAATTCATAGTACTTTGCCTAAAATTATCCTGGCAAATTTTATATACATATACACAGTGATGTATTTTCTAAATAGATATATAATTTTACATTATACATACACAGACATATATTTTAAGCGGGTCATTCTGCTACCTATGGAGGACATCCAAAGCAGTTTGTGCAAAGAAAGGTAATGGACGCAGGTTGTTATCTCGAACGACTGCCTGAAATTCATCAAAAATAGGCATAAACAGGAATCCTACCAGACTCTCCTGCACCCGAACTTCTCAAACATTAACTCGAGCTCGTTTTTTATTTCCTCGCTACAGCTCCTCTTCTGCTTGAACGAGAAAGGAGAGCAGGTCCCGGCTCGACAAAGACGACCGCCTCCACCCCAGGGCGGGCATGCAGGGCTGCGGCTGAAGCGCGGATCCGGGGACATCTACCGCGGCGGGAGGCACGGCAGACGGTCACGCTGTCACCCAGCGGCCCCGGAGACCGCGCTCTGCCCTACCGGCGGGGACAACCCCACCCTGAAGCCCCCTGGTTTCTCCCTTCTGCTAACAAAGCGCCGCCGCCGGCTCCCTTCCCCTCCCCTTTCCTCCTCCTCCTCCTCCTCCTCCTCCTCCCCCCCGCGCCGGGCGGCCGGGCCTGCCTCCCTCACCGCCTCCCTCACCTCCTCGCCC